GATCTCGCTTTTGTGGAGAAGTATACAATTACTTCAAAAGGGGATTGTTTTTTGCTTTTTGATAGCGGACCAGGGATGTCAAGGTTTGTCATTTTTTCAACTACGGCAAATCTGCAATTGTTGGCTTCATGTGAACATTGGTACGCTGATGGAACCTTTAAATCCTCTCCGCCATTGTTTGAACAGCTATACACAATCCATGCTGTGTTGTATAACACAGTGATACCGCTGGTGTTTATTTTAATGAGTGAGAGAACATCAGATATATATTTTCAGGTACTGACTGAGCTGAGAAACTTGTGTCCTCAGCTGCATCCGTCCAGCATCATGACCGCCTTTGACAATGCTAGCTTGGCGGCCTTCCTGGACGTGTTCCCAGAATGCGAGCCACAGGGTTGTTTTTTTCATTTCAGCCGATGAATCTGGCACAAGATACAACAGCTTCCCAACAGGCCCGGACTGGCCATCGGGCATACCGGGCAAATGCCCGGTGGGCCGCGATGGCCGTGGGGCCGAGGCCGGCAGGGGATCTCCCCGGCCGGCCCCTGCAGGGCCAGCGCTATCTGAGCGCCGGCCCTGCTGTGTGCCTCCATGGGCCGGTTGGGAGATCAAAGATCTCCCTCACCGGCCCACAGGAATGGAGATGCGGCCGCCGGCTGGGTGAGGGAGGGAGGGAGGGAGGAGAAGACCGGCGGAGCTCTAACAAGCAGCTCCGCCGGGTCCTCTCGCGGGATTCTGAGCGTTGCTGCGGTTACCACGGCAACGCTCAGATCTCGCGAGAGTGAACTCTAACCTGAGGTTAGAGTTCACTCTCACCACTGGACCACCAGGGAAGGCAGCATAGCTCCCCACACCCCCAGGCAGAACGGATCTCCTCCTCCTCCCCCCCTCCCAGGATAAAGGTAAGAAGGGAGGGGGGGGATATCATTTTTTTTTTTTTATTAATAAAAAATATATTGTAACGGAGCTCCCTGTACTCTGACCGAGTACCCTCCGTTGATGGATGCTCCTAGCGCTTCCTGAGGACTCCAAACACTGCAGCAGACACCACAACCACCGCAGACTCCACAACCGCCGTAGCTTAACTGGAGTCTCGCCGTCTTCCTTCCACCCTGGATCAGCTTCTGTCCTCCAGGACCGTGTGGGGAAGACCTCTCCTCCAGGAGAGCGTAACAGGAACAGCTCTTAAAAGAGCTAAGTGATTAAAAGCTCAGGGGAGTATGCAGAGCATAGCAATCCCCAGTGTGATATAGCAGTTCCCTCCAATAACGAGACAAGGCTACGTATTGAGGGTCAAGAAGATCTGATGTTTAATGGCACACACTCTGCTTTTATGAGATTCTGCCCATGCAAGGGAGACACCCACATAATTAGCAGTATAACCAATCGGAACAATATACATTCGGGGAAATTCCCATCCCTCAGATAATCACATAACATAATTAAAACAGAACAGTAAAAATACAGTTCTGTATGTACTATAACTTCCAAACTACACATCCAATCTTCATAAAAAATACCTATTTGGAATCAATCCATTAAGGGGAGCAACATATAAAAAAATGGCACAAATCAGACAAGGGGTTCAAAAGTTAGCAAAAGTGTCTTTTGGGGCCTGGCTGGCAGCATGGTTTTCTGGCCCAAACCGGTTTTACAGAGGCCTCTATCCTGGACAATGGGGAAAGTAATCCAATTATCCAGGGATAGAGGCAGACTCCATTAACCACATGTTAGCAAAAGACACAAAAATACATAACTCCTATTGAACTGAACAGAACCCCCACATTCAACCTATCCCCAGATGGCTTGGATCTGAGCGCTCAATATATCCAAACAGCGCTCAGATCCCACAAATACAGTCAAATCGCCATACACACTAGGTCCATAGTCATGGGGCAGAAGGCTGGCAATTAGGCTTCTCCATAACACAGGGAAGCAGGGCAATTTGTCAAATAAAATAACAGTTACAAATGGCAGTTTGTAACATATCTCCCCTTTTGGAGGGAGACTAACCAGGCACCTGACCTCCTGTCGGTCAGTGCCTAAGTTAGTCTCGCAGCCCACCCACAAATAACAAGTAGCAAAGTAGCCCCCCCACAATAAACAGTACTGGCCTGTAGGTTCCAGGTTGTAGGATGAAAATGCAGCATCCTCTGCCTTCCTGGTGCAGCTGGGCAAATAGCTGGTGGTACTTGGGGGGCAGAGGCCAGCGGCGCTCTGCCCTGATGCCCGCACTTCTGCTGGGGAGAGGGGGTTGCAGACCAGTCCTGTAACAAGGGGGTCGGTAGGGCAGAGGCCAGCGGCGCTCTGCCCTGATGTCAGCTCTTCCGCTGGGGTAGCCGGCAGAATGTCACGCTCTGTACAAGGGACACAGGGAGGGCAGAGGCCGACTGCACTCTGCCCAGCTGCCAGCTCTTCCGCTGGTATAGCCTGCAGGACATCAGGCTCTGGACAAGGAACAAAGGGAGGGCAGAGCCTGACTGCACTCTGCCCAGCTGCCAGCTCTTCCGCTGGTATAGCCTGCAGGACATAGTCCGGCTCAGTAGCCAGGGGAACATGGGAGTCAGTGGGGGTTAACATCTCCTCTGTTAACCCTGGGGCCAAGTTAGGAGTTAGCTGGGGAGGGGAATTCGTACTTACCCCCTCTTCCTGTTGTCCCTGTGAGGGTAGTTGGGGATCTGGACAGGCTGTCCAGCATCCCTGTAGGTCAGGCACAGAGACCACGGTCCCATCTGCGCCATCTGGGAGATTGGTGTCTCCCCTTGGTAGAGTAAGCTGCCGCTGGGGTGATAGGGTGCTGTGCTCCTCTCCCTGAAACACAGGCTGCCGCTGGAGAGGGAGACCGCCTGTCTCCACTCCCATAACATTGTCCTGCTGCTTGAGAGAGAGACCAACTGTCTCTGCTCCCTGTAGGACACACTGCTGCTGGGGGGGAAGGACGACACCTTCGGCCCCCTGGAATTTGCACTGCCGCTGGGGAGGAAGGACGACACCTTCGGCTCCCTGTAACTTGCACTGCCCTGGTGGTACCTCCAAGGTATACTGGGACTGACTGGAGCTGAGTAGGCACTTGTAATCCTGTTCCAGTTCCCATTCCTGGATGGCCAATTCAAACAGGTCTGGCTCTAGGTCTTCATCCATAGGGAGACCTAGAATGGTTTCTCTGGATTCATATATGTCCCATAGCCGTGACTCTGCAGCATCCCCGAATCTTGGTCCGGTACAGGCGTACCATAATACGCCAGGGCCATTGTAATCCTCGCCCTCTGGTCTGTCGCACTTAGCCATCCCGGGAACACGCTGAACTGCATACCAATGTAGTGCCTGGTATGCATCTTCGAGCCCCAGTTCCTTCCATGCCAGAGAATTAAGCTGCATTACCAACTCCCACCTGGGCTGTTCTCCCATCATAGGCATCCATAGGGCCACTCGGGCCTGTAGTCGCTGCTCCTCGCTGGGGAGACGCTCACCTCGCCAACGCTGGACACCCTCCAGGGCTTCGTCCCACATCTCTTTCCTGGCGCCCTCTCTGCAGTCCAACCTGGTTGCCTCTGATACTGGCTCACCCACTGAGGCCAAGAGGCTCTGTAACCTCCAGTCGAACTCATCCTCCACTTTGAGCGCTGTCCAGGGACTTGCTGGCTCCATATCACTCCGTAATGATTCCGGTGTCTCCGAGCTGTTTCTCCTCGCACTGGGACGCCATCCCACCGCTGCCACCAATGTAACGGAGCTCCCTGTACTCTGACCGAGTACCCTCCGTTGATGGATGCTCCTAGCGCTTCCTGAGGACTCCAAACACTGCAGCAGACACCACAACCACCGCAGACTCCACAACCGCCGTAGCTTAACTGAAGTCTCGCCATCTTCCTTCCACCCTGGATCAGCTTCTGTCCTCCAGGACCGTGTGGGGAAGACCTCTCCTCCAGGAGAGCGTAACAGGAACAGCTCTTAAAAGAGCTAAGTGATTAAAAGCTCAGGGGAGTATGCAGAGCATAGCAATCCCCAGTGTGATATAGCAGTTCCCTCCAATAACGAGACAAGGCTACGTATTGAGGGTCAAGAAGATCTGATGTTTAATGGCACACACTCTGCTTTTATGAGATTCTGCCCATGCAAGGGAGACACCCACATAATTAGCAGTATAACCAATCGGAACAATATACATTCGGGGAAATTCTCATCCCTCAGATAATCACATAACATAATTAAAACAGAACAGTAAAAATACAGTTCTGTATGTACTATAACTTCCAAACTACACATCCAATCTTCATAAAAATTACATATTTGGAATCAATCCATTAAGGGGAGCAACATATTAAAAAATGGCACAAATCAGACAAGGGGTTCAAAAGTTAGCAAAAGTGTCTTTTGGGGCCTGGCTGGCAGCATGGTTTTCTGGCCCAAACCGGTTTTACAGAGGCCTCTATCCTGGACAATGGGGAAAGTAATCCAATTATCCAGGGATAGAGGCAGACTCCATTAACCACATGTTAGCAAAAGACACAAAAAGACACAAAAATACATAACTCCTATTGAACTGAACAGAACCCCCACATTCAACCTATCCCCAGATGGCTTGGATCTGAGCGCTCAATATATCCAAACAGCGCTCAGATCCCACAAATACAGTCAAATCGCCATACACACTAGGTCCATAGTCATGGGGCAGAAGGCTGGCAATTAGGCTTCTCCATAACACAGGGAAGCAGGGCAATTTGTCAAATAAAATAACAGTTACAAATGGCAGTTTGTAACATATATATTTAAATTTAAATAAAAAATACGTTCACTCACACACACAGCACCCAGACAGACACACACAGCACCCACAGACACAGCACCCAGACACACACA